GGTTGGCGAAATTTGGGCGAGAGCAGCGTGTACCAGTACGATTCAAGGCTCACAGAGTCATCATATATGTCCCGCCATATCCTAAGCTTCGGCGCCTCTATCTCCGCCCCGGTGTTGAGCAGCTCCTTCATGAGGTTGTCCCGCCAGACGCGGTTGGCGGAGAGGTAGTTCCAGTCTATTGCCTCCATGTCGTCTCCGGCCTGCGGCTCGCTTCGCCGCTTCTACACACTCACGCACGCCTATTAAGCCACCTTTTTGGGTGGGTTGGAAATCTTGCAACCCTCAGTGCCTATCTTTTTAGTTTGCTTGTTTTATTGTCTATTCCTTCTGCAACCTGCGATGGGGCACAACATTCCCCCCCCCCCCCAGCCAAATAGAAAAATGGAGCAAAAGCGTGACACAGAAAGCGGTATACAGAGGGGAAGAAGGCGACAGAGCAACACTACCTGCACGTCTCCGCCCCTCTCGCTGTGCGTGTGCGTGTGTGTCTAGTGGGTGGAGGGAGAAGCGGGGGATATTTGACGTCAGGGAGGCTCAACGCACATGCACGCGTATATATAATTATAAATATATATAAATATATATTTGTATATGGCTTTAGCTCGGCATCATCGCCGTCAAGACATTGCTTTATCACAACGTTCTTTCTGTGCGCCCCCACTGCTTGTCTAGCCCCGCCGCAAGTTCCTCCCACGCGCGCTGCTCCAGCATCGCGACCTGCTTCCGCTTCACGAGCTCCACGCTGACGCAAATGTAAAGGGCCATATCATTGGCACTACTGTTGCGGCTAACGGGTGTCCTCGGCGGCGGCGGCGGCGCGGGTGGCGGGGCGACGTCTGCCGCCAGAGCCGCAGCGGGCTCGGTGGCACGCTCCAGGCGCGCGACCGTGCTCCCACTCCTCTCCTCCTCTGAGCTGCTCGGTGCGGTGGCACTCACGCCACTGCAGAGACTGGCGCCATTTCGTGTAGTTGTGCCGAGTAGAGGCGGTTTTGCCGGCAGGTGCGCGGGGGGGCGGTGAGCCGCTTCCTCCGCCCACGTTCGATGCACGCCGGAGGGCGTGCGACTTTGTCTGGGCGGAGGCTCACTTTCGGCGGCGGTGGCGTCTCCGTCGGCGCCATTCAGCTCGACCGCCATCTCGTGAATAAGACTCTCCTTGGCCGCAAGGAGGCAGCGCGTGCTGAGGTGATTCAGCAAAGTTTGCCGCTGGGTCAACAAGAGCTTTCGCGAGAGGTGCGCCTCGCGTTCGAGGTGCGCCCGCTGCGACTGCTCTGCCTCCTGCAGTACGCCCTGCGTGAAGCGGGCCCACCTCACCGCCGCCGCGCCGCCTTCGCAGGGGGGCGTCCGTGCCTGCTTCGCCCCAGACGATGGACTCCTCGCGCTTTTCTCCTCAGTTTCCCAGCGATGCGCCGCAGCTTCCCGGAGCCGCGCTTGACACGCCGCTTCGTACTCCCTTGCCCCCGCCCGCACAGCACTGACGGCGGATGCCAAAAGGCCGCCTTGGGCATCCAGTCGCCGCTGCATCCACCGCCTCGCCTCCCTCAGCTCCCAGGCAGCGGGCATTGGAGGCTCCAACGTCCATGCCCGCGGCTCTGCATCCACCACTGCAGCCACTTCCTCGCGTGCGGTGACGAGCAGCGTGACGCGTCCCACCCGCTCCTCTACGGCGATGGCGTGCCGCCGCACCGCCTCCTCCGCATCACAGCGCAGCAGCCACAAACGCCGCTTAGCAAAGCCTGCCTGCACTGCTACCTGCCTGGCAGTCCACCTATCAAAGCCCAGGTTACATACAACTCCGTCTCCCTGAGAGCCACGCGCTACCGACACCAATGAGAATGGAGCCACCGGTACCGTGGTGGTGGCTGCTGTTGCTGTTGCCGCTGCCGGTGCCGGTGCCGGTGCCGGTGGTGTTGGTGGTGATGGCGGCAATGGCGGCGGAAGGGCGTACACGCCTTCGGGTACACCGCGCGGGGCCGCATACCACGGCGACGTGGAGAGTCGTGCCTCGCTTGGCCAAGCATGACTGCGACTCCGGCTCTCCACGTTGCCGTCCCGATTTTCGTAGTACTCCTGGGACGCGTCGTCGTGCCCTGTTTCCTGCGCCTCCCGCCAGCTGGAGGAGGCCGGCTCAGAGGCGAGCGGCACGCCTGGCGGAAACAGCCGCGCCGTCACCGCCATCTTTCCCTCGCACCACGCAATGGCCACGTTCACCTCGCTTAGCCGCTGCAGTGCGTGCGGTCCCGGCGATGCCCCGCGGCCGCTGCTGCAACAGTGGGCCTCGTCGCGGCCTCGCGTGTCTGCGGCCGCGTCGAGGGCGAAGCGTCGCCGGTCCTCCAACCGCGTCAGCGTGCCGGGGCTAGCCAGCGCCTCGTAGGCCGCGAGGATGCCGTCCACGAGAAGCGCCTGATCCTCGGCGAGCGCGCCGGCGACATTGTCCTCTAGCGAGCGCAGGCGGCGTGCGCAGGGCGTGCGAGGCGCCACCGACGGCAGGCCGGTGTTCACGCCGTCCCCCCGCCGCATCGCCGCGGACGCGCGAAGCACCAAAGCGGGCGAGTGGGTCCCCCGTCCCTGAAACAAACAACAACAACAAGAAGAAAAATAATAAGGGGGAAAAGTATAGAAATGAGCCAATAGCAAAATCGGGCCGCACACCGCCTCTGCTCCCGCGTCTATTTTGTGTGGGAGGGGGCGACGACGAGTGTGCCACGGAGCCACCGCCGCAACGAGTGAGGGCGTCGCTCCTGCGGTTGCACGTGCCCCCTCCTCCTCCTCCTCCTCTGCATCTCTTCAGCCAAACTGTGCACTCGCGCACACGCACCCACCCACCCACACACACGCACGCCACGGGGGAGACAAAAGCTGTAGGAGTCACACGGCGCGGTCCATTGCGCCCCGACATCGGCCCTCCCTCTACACACACGCACACACACAAACAGAAACACACAAAGAGAAATAAAGAAAAACATACATGTACATTACACCCCGCGCCGCACACCACAACGGGGCATCAACAGAAATACATCCATCAAGAAAAAGACACATGGAACAGATACATTACTTCACTTATTTGGCCTCGCCGCGGCACCCATTTCCGTCCGCACGCTGCTAAAAATAAAAAGGGGATGCAGCTCTACACATGTGAGCGGGTCCATGGATGCTGCGGCGCCAAGCAGCAGCCAAACAATAGGAGGAGCGACAAGCGATAGAGGGAGAGGAATAGGGAGGGAGGGAGGGAGGGAGGGAGGGAGGGAGGGAGGGAGTGAGGGAAGGCAAGTACGAAGCTAGGCACCCCGCAAAGTTTCTCGCGCGCTCTAAACTCAAAGAACAACAACGCCAAAAGGAACAAAAAAAAAGACATTTCGGCAACGTAATAACAATATAAAGATAAGAACAAAGTTGATTGTACTTCAGCGGCTTTTTTTAAAAATAAAAAATTATTTTGCAAATGCAACCATTCTTCCTCTGCACTTGTAGCTCCTTACATCAGCCACGCCACGCCACGCCACGCCAAAGCGGCTGCACTGCACTTTTAATTCCTGATCCCTACGAGATAATAATACCACACGGGGAAGCAGCAGAGGAAGGGGGTGGGGAAGCTGAAAAGCGGCAGGGCCGCACACGCACGGGTTTTCCTGCTTCGGACCCAGTTGTGGGGAGTTCGCCGTTCTAATCACGCAGATTCTCCTTAATGTAGGCCCCAACGCAGGCGGCAAGCGCGAGGTCCACGTCCTTTACATCCAGCCCCATTGACTCTACAAGACGTTGCTGCGTGTAGCCGACGGCGCCTTCATGGACCCCGGCCGGGTAGGACTCCTTTGCAGCTGCGGGGACAAACAGCTTCGCCGGCAAGGGACGGGCAGGGTGGTCAGCGACGATTTGCTCCACGTCCGCCGCGTCGCTGATGGAAACCACTACGGTGGACTTTGACTCCATGAAGCGCAATTTATTGGCACCGAACCAGCTAGAAAAGACCTTTTCAATCGGCTCCGAATCCAGCTGATCCATCATCTCCGGCGGCGGAAGTCCGGCGAACCACGGCAGGGCGTACCGGCCGTGGCGTAAAACGTCCCCCTCTATTAGCAGCTTCAGCATCGTCCACCCCACCGAGTCTACCGTGAGCTGCTTCTCCCCTTGCTTCTTCACCGACTTGAGGTTCGACACCTTGAGTAGGTAAAAGATGACCGTGCAGTACTGGTCGTAGTCGACTAAAGTCAGCATGCGCAGCGGCTCCTTAAACTGCGGTGCCCCGGCGTCGGAGGCCCAGTCGCGCTGTAGCGCCTGCGTGATTCCTTCATGGCCCTCAAACCCCAAATCCACGGCGACGGCGTAGAGGGCGCGGTCCGTCCCCATGCCGTGCAAACTCTCCACATCGAGGTAAAAGCCGCGTCCGGGGCTGTACGGCACAACTCTGCTGATCCGGTTGCCCATAGGCTTGGCACTCCCCCCAAACGCAGCCACAGCCTCCTCCCAGTCGTTGAAAGACGGCAGAGTACTCTGATCTACTTTCTGCCGCATCAAGTACAGTTCCCGCTCCGCGGCCGTGGGGCGTGGCTCGCGGGGAAAGTCAAAGTGTGGCGCGTTTGGGTCGCTGTCTAGGCACCACATAATGTAACCACACGGGCAGCACCCCGCATGAGCCTTTACTGGCGTAAAGAGCAATTCATACAGCGCCTGCGAGTTTAGTGCGTCCTCTATTTCATCCTGCGAATACTGCTTCATAGCTTTTCGCTCCGCAAAAAGTGAAACCCCCGAGAAAACGTCACGGGCCGCGGGTCGTCGCGGGTCCCCCAGTCGCATTCGTGAGACAAAGTTGCCACGCCCCGCGTTTTTGTGGATGGGCAAGGCGGCATGCCCAAAGACGCACGGCCCCACCTCATTCCGGGTGACGTACTCAACAATGACAAGGGCGTGGGTTTTCTCTGTCACAATGATGCTTGGCATGTTTACCTTGAACAGGGGAAACATGGCGCTGGCCCCAATATTCGGGTACTGGATCGCGTCGGGGGAGCGCAGCAGCACCGCGGGACTGCCGGCGTTGCTCATGACCTCCCCCGTATTCGGGTCTACGTGCTCAATCAGGTACACGAGGGCGCGCGAGTAGGCCGCGTTGAGGGGAAGGCCGGTGACGTAACTCACGTAGAAACTTACCTCATCGTTGTTCGGTCCATGACCCGCTGGTCCGCGTGGCGGAAGCGGGGCGTTCTCGGCACGCACCTGCAGCAAAACGCTTGCCTCCATATCTAACTCCTGCGTGAGTTTCCCGAGGCGCGCATGCGAGGCGGCGGAGGACTTGAACTTTGCGGGAACAATGAGGGTGCCCTTGTCGTCAAACTCCAGCTTCCAAAGACGACTCTTGACGAGGGCCATGTCCGGCTGAAGTTCCTCCTCCTCCTCGGCCGGGGTTTGCAGCTGCCCCGACGACGACGAGGAGGACTGTGGCCCTTTCCCCACCGGAATCAGGCGCAGGGCGGCGGCGTTGCTCAGGTATTTCTCCGCGGCGGCCAGTACATCCGTTGCCTTGGTGCTGTGAATCGTCCCGCGCAGCATCGTCTCCGGGAGGCTGTTGTTCGCCACCTCCAAGGCGACCGAGGCGTCCACCGGCGGCTGCCGCAGCGCCGCTATCCACATGCCCTCTTGACGAGCGCACACCGAGGCCCAGAAAAGGACCTTGTCGTGGCACGAGAAGGTGATAATGAAGACGTGTAGCTCATTGCTGCGCCGAACTGTAAAGTCAAACGGGGTCTTAAGCGAGACGGCAAGCTGGGCAAAACCCTCCTTTTGAACTGTTAGGGGGAAGTAGCACCGTTGCCGGATGGACTCCAGCAGCTGCTGGTCAATGCCGTCGAGGAGGTGGTACTCGTCCACGGCGACAACGACGTCCTCTAATGAGACCTGAATATCGACACCAACCACGCGGTCCAACAGCAGCGCGTAGCTATTCGGCTCCAGCAAAGACATGGATGGCGCAACAGGCGCGGAAGCCACACCGTTTCCATAGCCTAGACGCCAATCCGACGACAGCCGCGACCTGGGAGATTGCTGCTGCAGTTGTTGATTATTCCAAAGCGCAACTTGTCCAGCGCCGTCCTGGTACTCGTTGGACGGCGGCGGCAAAATCCGCACCCCCAACTCACCCCGAAGTTGCGCCACCTCCTGCTGCGCCCGTGAGAGTCGAATCGCCATTTGCGCCAGCTGGTTATTCATGTACAAGTCCTTTTCGGGGAGGCTGTAGCCAGCGGGGGGGCCAGCGATCGCCGGGGCCGTCAGCTGCCGCGCCAGCGCTATGCTGTCCACCCCGCCCGTGTAGACCGGCGCGCTCAAAGCACCGGCGGGCACGGCGCCCGGGAACGGGTTCAACAAACACGCATCGCCCTGTAACACATTGAAGTCGCCGGGGTACACGCCGTTGTGGAGGTTGGGCACGACGCTTGGGGCGTACTGCAACTGCCTGGCGTAGGCGAGTTGCGCGCCGCCGCAGTTGGTCCGCTGATGCAGCGCCAGCTGCTGGACGGTTGCAAATAGAGCACCACAGGTGGCACAGTAAAACATCTTCGCTTGAACGGAGGTGGTGAGCCACCATCTCCCACACACAAAAAGAGAGAGGGGGAGAAGGGGAGAAAGCATGGGGGAGGGGGGCGACCCGCGGTAGCCAACACAACGTCGCAACAGCTACAGCGCGGGAGAGAAAGCGGAGTTGACGTACCATTGCTGAGCTGCCTAGGGTCATCACTGGTGCACATACTGCGTCTACGCATAAATGCTGCAAGCCAACTCGAGAAAGAAGAGGCGGGGACGGACGCGCCACCACTAAAGGCAGAAGTGGTGGACCAGCAGCCAGGAATGCGCCTCCGACTGCGGCACTGCCTGTACTATTCCCAGAAGGAGAGAGTCGCCCCCTGGGAGGTTGCGGCTTGGGTCAGTGTGCGCCCAGTCCCCTCCCCCTACGGAGGCGGTATATATACATATATATATGTATACGTGTCCCACACGTACAGAAGCAAATGAATTCAAAAGACATACACCACGACAAACGGGCACGTATGATGAATCCACGCGGTCGTAGCTTCTCCCTCTCCGCAGCCTCCGAACGACAAGAAGACAAGGCCCAAATCACATGTCACTCACGGATGCGGCGTTACACCCCCCACATCCCCTTTGAACCCGCGCAGCGAACGCACAGAGAACGCACAGAGAGAGAGAGAGAGAGATAGAAGATATGTATATGTTATTCCGTCAGTAGACGGTGCGCCCATGCAAGGCAGACACCGTGTCGAGCTCCACCTTGAAGCGATCCCACAACCGTTTCCGCAGTGCCCGACATCGCCCACGCCAAGTGCGTGACACAAAGCACATCGTCTTCGGGGGCACCTCTACACGCGCTGCCAGAACTTCCGTTTTGATGTACCGCACCTCGGCGTGCTCGCCCATCGTCGGGGGTTTGGAAACGTCACGTAGGAGATAGCGGGGGTCAATGCAGATACTGCAGACCCAATCAATTTCGAACCGGGGATTCTTCCTTAGTTCCTTGGGGTCCACGTAGTGGCGCAAAGTTTGTTTGTGCTGCAGAATAATCCGTTCCTCGGCCTCGTCTTCGTTTGTCTCTTTTTCGGTGTACACGTGGACAGTCCAGAGGACGTCCTGCATGCGCCTGCACCACGGGAACTGGAAAACGCCGGTAAGCCACTGAAGAGGAAAGAAGACGACACCCTGCGCCATGTACTGCATCACGCGAAGCGTCTTGCTCTTGACGGTGTACTGCGGCGCGGCCGACATCACGGCGTCGGCGGCGCCGTAGCCCCGCGGCCATCCCTTCGGCGTCGTCGTCGTCGTCGTCGTCTCCGCCGCGCCTGAGGCGTCGTCGTCAAAGGCGCTGGACGCCCCGCCTTTCCTCCTCACCTGCAGCATGTCGCGCTGCAGCAGCACGGCAAGCAGCAGCGAAGCCGTATCCGCCGTGCCCAATCGCTGCTCCTCCGCCTCCCACACAGAGTGCAGCGCGAGCGCGTCTTCGCCACACAACTCCGTGAGCAGCTCCAGCGAGGCGCGCACGCGCTCGCACCTCGAGGCGAGAAGCTCACGCCCGGCCGCCGTCGCCGCCGCCGCCGCCAAATGCACCGGATGTCGCCGCTGCCGCTGTTCCTCGTCCCCGCCCGCCGCGCAGTAGTTGTGGCGCGCGGCGGTCCTGACGTACACGGGGATGCGCGGGAAGTCGCGCGTGACGGAGGTGGGGTCCTTCACAACCTCGCGAAGGAGCTGCACGCGCCACGCGCCCTCCTCCTCCTCCTCCGCCGCCGCCGCCGCCGCACCGCCGCCGCCGTTCGTCTTCAGCGGCGTATCGCGCCCACCACCGCTGCAGGGGCCGCAGGACGCCGCCGATCCCATTGCTTTCTTTTTTTATTATTTATTTTTTCTTATACTTTTTTTTTTCTCTCTGGCGGCAGAGACGCCCCCACGGCCCTCCTCCGTCGAATGTCGGCGCCTTTTCCGCCTCTCCCGCCCCGCTGCGGTAGCCTGGAGGCAGCCAAACACCGGGAGAGCGGGAGAAAGGCACAGGCGCAAGCAGCGGCAGCCGTGCGTGCAGAAAACAAGACACGGACAGACACACACACACACAGACAAACACACTACAAAAAGAAAAAAAGATCGTGCCGCTCACGACACACCGGCCTCCCACTTCATCCCGTCCCCAACTGACAGAGAGGCTCTTGCGGCCAGATGTGCTCTACGGGGTTATTTGCCCCCACAGAGATGTACGCACCCCCCCGCCCCGCCCCGCCCCGCCCCGCCCCGCCCCGCGCGCTCAGTACAGTTGTGCAGTCACATGGGCACGGCCACATATATATTTATATAAATATATGCACATATAATTCTGTAAATAGTTTTGTGTCTTTCTTTTCTTTTCTTTTCCTTTCGTTTTCTTTTTTTACCGGCTGCATTTTGCTGCATTCACGTCCCCTCCCTCTCCCTCACCACGGCATCAGTGCAACACCGGTTCCTTCCCCGCCTCCTCGGGCCGCTCTGTCATTGCACGCGCGCATAAAAACTCAACGCACGGCAACGCACATAAACACCTCTCTGCACACCCACACACGCACACACGGGGGTAGTTAAGCAGTTCCGTGCATCTCTGCATGCGTGCACACACACTTAAGCACCTGCAGTGCTATACAATTATTCCTGTTTCTTTTTTTTTTTTATTCTTCCTTTTTTTCCTCTTTGTTTAAATATAAAAAAAAAGCAAGCAAGCAAACAAAAAAGAGAAGTGTGTTTGACCTCACAGTTGCGCGCAAGCATCGTATCACATGATTGCATGACACTACGCGAAAGCCGGTCTTCTTTTGTTTTGGCTTTTTTTTGTTTTTACGTGGCTGTCAAGAAAAACACGGAGAGGCGCAGGAGCACGCACCTCCACGCACGCGCAGCGAGACACGCACGGGGGGGAAGTTCCCCCCCCCCGGCCCCCGGGAACGATGACAGCGGCGGTCGCAATATAAAAAGGGCGGCCAAACATGGCACCTTAAACCAAAAACGCACGCACACAGAGAGAGAAGAGAAGAGAAGAGAGAAACGCGCAGGGACTGCAACGACGAAACAACAACAACAACGAAAGACAAACGGCGGCAATACAAAATAACGTAATGAAAACCGGCGAGCCCTACTTTGGCGACTGGGCATCAACGATGCCGACCGCGAAGGGCGCCATCAGCCCCTCACAGGAGACCCACGAGTGGAAGTGGTCGTACAGCGCCGTGCAGTCCCTCCCCGCGCACTGCCGCAGGATGCGCTCCCCGCCAGGGTGGAAGCGCTGAAACTTCGTACAGTCGTACACGACTCCCCGCACCACAAGCCACAGGTCGTCGGGAGTCGCGTGCGCCATGACCTCCTCCATTGTCAGCCGCGGCAGCTCCGCGCCGTGGCTCCGCGTCCCCCTCGCCTTCTCGCGCTGCTGCCGTTGCTGATAGTCGCTCCAGTCACGCATCGAGCACCCCATCTGGCGCGGAACCTTGACGCGCGAAATGGAGCCGAGGATCTCTGGCGTTGCGGGGATGTAAAAGGTGTTGTCTCCAACAAAGGGCTCAACCTCCGTTTCACTCTTGCGCTGCGGCGGCGGTAGCGCGTCTGGCGGCCTCGCTGCCGCTTGCCGCACATTCTCGCCGCCGAAGCGGGCGAAACCCTTGTTGCCTTTGCACACAGCCCCCGCGCTGCAGCGCCGCTGGGTCGCGTCGTCCATGCAGCCCCTGCGCAACGACCAGCGGGAGGCGATGGGCAGCCGTGAACCGCTTCAGTCGTTCCTCCCCGCCGCGTAAAATGTCTTGCGGAGCCGTTTTACTCCTACTTTTATTATTACCCTTGTAGTTACTTATTTATGTGCAGGTCCCGTTTGTTACTCCGCTGGAGTGGAGGCCTGCGGCAAACCCCCGCCGTGTGTGTGGGGAGTGGGGTGGGGGGGCGTGGACGCCTAAAGGGCCAGGCGCCGCGTCGCCACGTGGCGGTCTCCCCCCGCGCTCGTCCACGCGCTCACGCGCGACGGGAGGAGGCAGACGGAGAGGCGGGCACGCTCCGCGGGGCGGAGAAAACGTCACCGGCCGAAGACAAAAAAAAAACAACACAAAAACAACAACCCAACAACAACCACCACCACCACCAGCTGAAACAAGAAAAAAAAACTAAAAAAGCAACAAAAACAGCAAAGCAGGACACACACAGAGAGAGAGAGAGACAAAATGCAATCAAAAACAAAGACAAAAAAAAGGTGGTGGGCGGCACTGAAGTGGGACCCTTGTTTATCCTACAAGCGGCGGGGAGGAGAGATGGATGAAGAGAGGGGCGGGAGAGAGGCAGTCTGCACGCGGAAGAACAAAAAAACACGAGGCAGATGCAGAGTGAGACGAGGTGAGTGCGATGATCGTGGGCCGCCGTTGGGTGGCAGGCCCCACAGAGAGAAACGATGGGGAAGGGACAACACGAGAACAAAAAAGAAAAGAAACAACGGCAATTGAAAGACACTCAGAACAATCCGGGAAGGAGAGCAGGTGAGAGTGCGAAAAAAAAAACAAATGAAACAAGGGCCTCAACATGACCACGCCATCTCATGATGCAGTGTGCGATTGGAGCGCCCTCTGCACCACACTGACGCCGCCGGCGCTCGTGTCGTGCACTATAAAAACCTGCGGACCGGCGGGGGGTTTAGGCAACCAGCACGTCGTGGCGCCACCCCGCACGACACGATCCACGTCCTCGACGTCAGGACGCAAAAATGGACACGCGAAAGCCACATGCTGCCACTCCGCCACCCCGCGCCGCGTGTTTGGCTCCACATTGCTGCGGTACTGCGGCACCGGCCGCGTCTGCCAGCAATCCCACGGGATGCGGTCGTTGCTGCCGGGCGCCGGCCGCGGCGGGGTGGGCGGCAGGAGCGGCGCACGCTGGTAGCAGGAAAGCATCACAACGCCGCTTCCGTCCGGCGCGGGCGGGGCAACGGCGGGGAACATCTCCATCCGGCCATCCGTCACGAGACGCATGATGTGGGAGTCGCTGACCATCGGCCGCTGCGGCGGCGCCGATGCCAGCATGGCCGCCTCCGACGACCGGGAGGGAAGCGACGGCGCGGGCGGCGCAATGGAGGGAATATACCGCGCCGCCCGCACCGCCGCCGCGTCGTCGTAGTCGTTGTCCTCCCCGCCGCTCCTGGCGTCGTCCCTGGCGAAGAGCCGCAGCGGCTTCATCGGGGGCGTGCGCGGGAGCAGAAAGGCTTCGCACGGCGTCAGCTCCAGCGGCAGGCTGAGCTGCGCCACGGAGAGCACCATGCCCCACCACAGCGTGAAGGCATCCACCTCCGCCGTGGGCGACGGCGGAAGCCCGCGAAGCTCCTCCACGGCGGGGGAGGCGTCCAGCGGCAGCTCCCGCGCGTCCTCCGCGTTTGCCGCGGCGGCGGCGGCGGCGGCGGCGGCGGCTTCTCCCGCCACCAGCGGACGACCGGCGAGGTCCATGACGACGGCGCTGCCGTCTGCCCGGCGCAGGAGTCCACGCGACACCCACCGTCCCCGCGTCCAATACCCGGCGTAGACCTCCCCATTTGTGTACCGCCTGATCCCCAGCATTCGGCGCTCCTCCATGCGGCGGTAGCAGCGGTCACACACACGCACCTGCCCCTCCACCTTGAAGTGCAACGGCATCGCCGCCCGGCGTTGCGAGCACCGGTCACAGACCACCTCCCCGCACAAGCGACAGTGGTGCCGGCGGAGAAAGAGTGAGAAGTTCGCCTGACACTGGGCACAGCACTGACAGTGGACGTCGTTCACCATGACGGGCGGCAGAAAGCAGTCGTCGCGTTCATTGCCATTGTGGTACGTCGTCTCGTACACGGTCTCCGTGAGGGCGTCGTAGATGCGTACAAATCCAGTCAACATGTCGTCGCTCCACTCGCCCTCAATAACACAGTCCCCAAAGTGTTCACTTCCCTTTCCCTGCTTTTTACCGCCGCGGAAACTGCCGTAGAAGACGCTGGTCGCCATCAAAAGCTTACCTTCACCTTCAATGCGACCAAACGCAAAATCTCCACTATATACAACGCCATCTTTCCTTTGCAAAATCCCCGTACCGTGCCACTCTCCATGCTGCCACTCCCCGTTGTAGCGGCTACCGTCAAGCTCGTACGATTCCCCTCGGCCGTGGTGGCGCTGCTGCTCGTCTAGCTCGCCGTGGTAGCGCAGCGCAGTGAGTTTCCCGTGCTGCCAGACTCCCTCGTAGGCGGAGCCGGACTCCGCGCAGTAAATCCCCGTACCATGCCACTCATCGTTTGCAAATTCCCCCACGTACTTTTCGCCATTCTCCATCATCTGCACGCCCCTGCCGTGGCGGTGGCCCTCGTGAAAGGCACCCAGGTAATAGCCCTGCTTTCCCCACCACAACGAACCGTAGATGTGTGGAATGCAATTGCACGTGTACCCCTCATACACGATATATGGCGTCTCCGGGGAAGGGGAAGAGGATGAGTAGGAGGAGGAGAAGAATTGCGGCAGCGAAGCCTCTTCCTTGTCGAGGGTGCCAGAAGAGGAGGCCGCCGCCGCCGTCGCCTCCTCCTGCGGCGCCGTGGTTGCTGCCGTGGAGGACTCTGGGGTGGCAAGGCAGCGCATCGGTATCCAGATGGAATTAAACTCCAGGCCCAGCATCGCCGCTCGTGCGCAGTCCACGCATGCAGGCATTTGCGCAGGCACGGTAAATGCGTCACCTGCGGCGGCGGCTGCGTTGGTGGTGGTGTTGCTTCCACTAACAACCACGCTTTCACTCATCCGCAACCGCACAAGGGCCTCAATTTTTGGGCGACCACGGACCTCGATGGGGTGTAGGCAGGAGCTGCAGCTTCGCCGCTCACAAAGCGTGCAGCTCGTCTCCTTGCGGAAGAAGGTGAAGGGTTTGTCACAAAAGACGCAGTTCTTTGAGCCCGCGCCGCCGTCCGTCGTCACCACCGCACCGCGGATCTTGTCGTGCATGGGGGCGTCAGGCCGGTGCGGGAGCATCAGACGCGGGTGGTTATGCAGCCACACCGTGCGCAGGCAGACACCCGACTTGAAGAAGACGCGCCCATGGCGCTCTTGCACCCCCACCGGAATCACCGCAGGGGGCTTAAGCAACGCGGTTGCCCCACCGCCATTGCCGGGGCCCGCCTGCAACGCACCTGCCGCCACCGCCACGGCACCACCACCGCCGCCGCCGCTGTTGCTCCCGCTGCTACTGCCACTTGCGCCGTGAGCCGTCGAGCCGGAACTACTCCCAAGGCGTGCCATGAGCGCCTGATACGTGGCGTAGGGAAGCAGAGAAATATCCCACTCGCCCTGCAGCACAAAGTGCTCGCGGAAGCCAATGACACGTCGGGTGTCCTTGTGCTCCGGCAACGCCTTTCGACGGAAGAGGCCGATGAGGCGGCCCATCACGCCCAGGTAACTGCCGCTGCTCGTGGCATCTGCTTCCGCGGCGGCGTCAGCGTCGGTGCCGGTGCCGGCGTCGGCGTCGGCGTCTTCCTCTGGGGCGTAAATGGGCTCGCGTTTGTCGGTTGCGTAAAACGCCCCAATTCCCACCGGGGCGTCGAGATGCCAGTCCCCCGCAAAAAAGGAGCCGTCCGTGAGCCACATCTGACCATTGGGCCCGTCCCGGAGGCCGCCTTGAAAGCCACCTATGTACACGTCGCCGGAGGGAAACTCCCACGACCCTGCTTCGCACGACAAGACATCCTGTGTCCAACTCCCCATGATAACGTGCCTGGCAAGCCGAAGCACACCGGCACCGTGGCGTACGCCGTGGCGAAAGAGGCCAAAGTGCTCAAACAGCGGCTGCGTGCCTGTGAGGGCGGCGGCAGCAGCGGCGGCGGCGGCCGTTGGGCTACCATCCCCCCTGCCGCCGCTAACGGACATGGCGGGGGTGCCGGCGCTGTTCCCGGCCGTCACGCACGTGGGCGGCTCCCGAAGCAGCAGATGCCCTATGCCGTTAAACGTCACCCCGTCCCACTCGCCGTCGTAGCCCTCAATAAAGACGTCGTTGTGCCACATCCCCGCCTGGATGGATCCAGTGGCGCTCTGTAGAATGCCTTGCCCCTCCCGCAGATCATTGACGAAGCAGCCGCTGTACTCCCCGCCATCTGCGTAGCGCAGGTTGCCTGGTCCGTGCCGTTTGTTCTTTACAAATCGTCCAAAGTAAAAGTCTCCGTTGCGGTACCACAGCAACCCCCGGTTGTGCATCGTCTCGCCAAGCCACTCCCCCTGGTAGCAGGCCCCCTCTCCAGGGGCGGAGTCGTGCCAGAAAAGCGTCCCCTGCCGCCGCTCGCCCCGCTCAAACTCCCCCACAAAGGTCGACACACCCGGGTACTGCACCACGCCTCTGCCCTGGATAAGCCCCTTCACAAAGCGCCCCTCGACCGTGGCGCCCTTCTTCCGCAGCGTGTACTTCCCATCACCGTGTCGCAGGCCGTCCTTCCACATTCCCTCGTAGACGTCGCCGTTTTTGTACCGCATGGTGCCGTGTCCCTCAATCTTGTCACTCGTAAACGTGCCGTAGTACTCGTCCCCGTTGGGGAACAGCATCACCCCCTCGCCGTGGCGCTTGTCGTGCACCATGGCCCCCTTAAACTCTCCCCCATTCACGTAACTGATTTTCCCATTCCCGTGACGCTCGTCTTTGCTCCACTGACCCTCGTATATCTCGCCGTCCGCGGTGGTGAGGCGCCCGCGACCGTGGCGAAGGTTTGACGCCCAGTCACCGTCGTAGGTGTCGCCATTTGCGTACCGCATCACGCCACGCCCGTGGCGATGGTACCTATAATGAAACTCCCCCCTGTACTCCAGTGGCGCATGCGCCTTATCAAAGGCTGAGAAGACAGACATGCCGCGTAGCACAAAGTCCGTAATGCGGCGACTGTACGTCATTACCCCGCTCCCGTGCATCTGCCCCTCGAACCAGCCGCCCTGGTAGGTGAAGGAGGAGGTCAGAAAAACGCCCTCGCCGTGAAACAAACCATTCTTCCACCCCCCGCCGTATCGGTCGCCATTGCCGTAAAAGTTTGAGGAGGACTTGAAGAGCATGATCCCGAGGCCGTGCGGCTGCTCAAGCAGCAGGTCACCGTAGTACTCGCTTCCGTCCGGCATGGTGCGCGTGGGTGGACCCCGCTCACGGGGATTGAAGGCAAGCACTTGCTGCGGCGTCACCGGCGCACACAGCACAGACGCCGGGTCATAAAACATAAGCGGCGGAACCTGAGAGACGTCCTGCAGCGGCGGCGGCGGCGACTGCGACTGCCACGCTGGCGCACCCGCCGGCACCGGCTGATCTCCCATATGGCGACGGCACAAGTTATACTGGCGCCGCGGCCCACAGGAGTACCACTTTTACTTTTTTTAAAAAAAAACCTCCTCAACGCTTGGAGCGTTTCCGCCTGCCTCTCGCAGATTTATATATATATATATATGTACGTATACGTGTGTATGCAGCTCTCAAATGCAAGGAACAACTACAACTGTGCAACGCTCCACCAGCAACGCAAAAACGGGAGGCAAAGAAGGCAACAAAAAAAGAGACTGCGCCTGAGTAGCAACGCGGAGCAGCTACACACACACACACACACACACACACACACACATATACACATACACACACATCACACCGCCGGGCATACCGCCTCCCACCCACAGCCTGTTTCTCGCCGACGCACACCGCTCTCGTTTCCACGCGAGACGCGCATTACTCACGGACACAACTTCGCCAC